GCCCTCATCATAAGCAACTCCATTTGTTGCCTATATTCCTCAACACTAAGGTTTCTTTGTTGGAGTCTTTGGAGCTGGTCCATCAACTCCCTCTCAAAATATGGAGGAATGTGCCTTCTCCTCAAGGCACTTCTAAGCTCATTCCAATATTGAATTGGAGGTTCATGATGAGTTCTTCTCTCTCTCTCAAGGGAAGTCCACCAATACATGGCATACCCTTGAAAGCTTAGGGTAGCCATGGGAACCTTTCTCTCTTCACTCACATTGTGGCAAGTGAAGAGTTGTTCAACCTTCATCTCCCAATCTAAGTAAAAGGTTACTTACCAACCAACCCAATGATGAATCACAAAGAGAGAACCTTTTCCATTCTAGATGCAAAATTTTTAAGAAAACTTGTTCTCTCATTGTTGACAGTGGTTTTTGTAATAACTTTGTAAGCCGAAGGTTGGTTGATAAGCTTAACCTAACTACTATAGCCCATCCTAAATCTTATAAACTTCAATGGCTTAATGAGGATGGACCTATAGAAGTTAAGGATCAAGCAAATGTTCCTTTCTCCATTGGAAAATATAAAGATGAAATTTTATGTGATATAATTCCAATGGATGCAAGCCACATTTTACTTGGAAGGCCTTGGCAACATGATAGGAAGGCCATTCATGATGGTGTTACAAACAAAATTCGCCTAGTCCACCTAGGCAAGAAACACACCTTGATTAATTCTTGAATTTTTTGATTTTTATTTTTAATATTTCAACAAATTCTTTATTAGTTTTAGTTCCTAGGTTTTTACTGATTTTTATTTTTAGCCTTTAAATTTTTTCTCCCGTCAACATATTGGCCTTTGACGTGACATTCTTTTTGTTTATAGAGAAAATTATCAGATATTAAAATCAAATAAAATTTATTTTAAAATATATATTAATGAGATCTACATTTAATATAAGTGCATATTACCAATATAAAACTTCAATTGATTAGAGAATAACACAAACTAAATATAAGGAATTTATACATAATATAATGAAGGAATTATATCACTAATAATCAATTTCATAATTCTTTTAAAATTCATACTTAAAATGTTGCCTAATTGTTTGACAATTAGTATATCAAAATCAAGTTCTTTTTCAATTAAGAAATCTCATTAATAAGTGTTGTTCCTACCGTAAGTCTGAGGTATTGTCCGCGTTGGCGCTCGTTGGGCCGTCACGGTTTTGTCCTTGAAAAGGCACCTCGGTGGGTTAAGGAGAAAGGGTGTTTATAAACTACTCTTAGGATCGACTCCTAAGCGATGTGGGACTTTTAGGAAATACCGGAACAAGCCCCCCAGTCGATGCTAAGGGGCAAGAGTGACCTGGGCCCTCCTTCTAGCGCCAATGTTCCTACCGTAAGTCCGCTGTCATCGTTAGGATCACCGCATCCGAGGTATTGTCTGCTTTGGCGCTTGTTGGACCGTCACGATTTTGTCCTTGAAAAGGCGCCTTGGTGGGTTAAGGAGGAAGGGTGTTTATAAACTATCCTTAAGATCGACTCCTAAGCGATGTGAGACTTTTAGGCATACCGGAACAAGTGTAATTAAATTTTAAATTGAATCATTAGTTATTCTAAAGTCATCATAACTTTAATATATAAGTTGTCAAAAGCTTTTTTTTTTTTTTTTTCAATTTTATCACAGGGGCATGAGTTTCTTCTCTATTAGGCCAGGCGTGATTCATGTGTAAATAGTTACAATGAAATATAGGAATGCAACACATTCAAATTTTGAATATCTAGTGTCCAAA